GTAGTAGTAGTAGTAGTAGTAGTAGTAGGAGTCGGCGTAGTAGTAGTAGGAGGAGTAGTAGTAGGAGTAGTAGTAGTAGCAGAAATAGTATTAGTAGTAGAAGCAGTCGTAGTAGTAGAAGTCGTAGTAGTAATGATAGTAGTAATAATAGAAGTAGTGGTTGAAGTAGTCGTAGTGGTGGTAGTAGTAGTAGTAGTAATAGTAATAGTAATAGTAGTAGAAGTAGTAGTAGTAGTAATAGTAGTAGTAGTAGTAGTAGTAGTAGTAGTAGTAGTAGTAGTAGTAGTAGTGATAGTGATAGTAGAAGTAGTAATAGTAGTAGTAGTAGTAGTAGTAGTAGTAGTAGTAGTAATAGTAGTAGTGGTAGTAGTGGTAGTAGTAGTAGTAATAGTAGTAGTAGTAGTAGTAGTAATAGTTGCAGCAGTCGCAGTAGTATTGCTTGTGGTATTGGTAGTGGTAGTAGTAATAATAATATGAGGATTCGTATCAGCAGTAATATAATAGAAGTTGTCCTAACACTGGTGATAGTAATCGTTATAGTAGTACTTGTAATAATAGTAGTCGTCGTCGGTGATGGCGTCGCCACAGAGGCTTCATTCCGGCCCACCCCTCTCGAGGATCGTGGCCCCCTGGCCCCACAGGGAGCCCCACCGAGGCTTCATTTCGGCATTCCCCTCTCGAGGATCGTTGCCCTGGCCCCACAGGGAGCCCCACCGAGGCTTCATTTCGGCACACCCCTCTCGAGGATCGTGGCCCTGGCCCCACAGAGAGCCCAACCGAGGCTTCATTTCGGCATACCCCTCTCAAGGATCGTGGCCCTGGCGCCACAGGGAGCCCCACCGAGGCTTCATTTCGGCTCACCCCTCTCGAGGATCGTGGCCCTGGCCCCACAGGGAGCCCCACCGAACCTTCATTTCGGCACACCCCTCTCGAGGATCGTGGCCCTGGCCCCACAGGGAGCCCCACCGAGGCTTCATGTCGGCACACACCTCTCGAGGATCGTGGCTCTGGCCCCACAGGGAGCCCCACCGAACCCGAACGGGAAACGGGAAACGTGGGGCCCCGCAGGGGCCCCACGTTTCCCGTCTCCCGTTTCCCTCCCACCCCCCCGGGGCCTCCAGGTAACGTCCTTACGAACAACAACAACAACAACAACAACAACAACAACAACAACAACAACAATCATTTAAGACTGGGGACACTCCGTTCTCACCAGTGCCAGGGTTTTCATAGGAGGCGGGCAATACCCCCACTTTTTGGGGGGGCCGGTTCAAGCTCTACCAAATTTCCAAACGACTCTTCGCCACCACCCACACCCAGCTTCCCGCCCTATGACGTTCGGACACTTCACTTCGTGGCATGCGGACGACCGTGGCTACTATTCAGGGGCCCGCGGCCGACGACGACGGCGTGCGCGCGCGAAGAAAAAACGAATGTGTCCCGCATGGTATTATTTGACAGGGATGATGGCCCTGGCAGGTGCGCAACCGTTGTTGCAGAAGTTCGAAAAAGTTGCTCGCAACAGCCCGTTTGACAGAAATGATAAAAAAGTGTGGGGTTTCCTACGAATCAGCAAGAGCGCGCGGGATGAAATTTTGACATTTTTTTTTTGAAAAACCATTGGTTTTTTGATGTTTTTATGTTAAAATCGCTACGAAAACTAAGGTTTGGGAAGGATTTGGTCTTGCGCGCGCGAATGTCCACTTTACCTTATTTTTTGCAAGGGATTCTTGAAGTTTGGTTATGTTAGAACAAGAAATGTCCACTTTAACTTATTTTTTGAAAGGGAAAACCGATCGTAACAACACAACCGGATCCGGACTCCCCCGTTTTGCCTGAGACTTCCTCACGAAAATGATGAAAATGAGGCTGCGGCCTAGGCGCGGCGGGGGGGTCGTGCACCAGGGGTCCCAACAATAATTATTCATTAGAAGTAATAATGTTCAACAACAACAACAACAACAACAACAACAACAACAACAACAACAACAACAACAACAACGGCCCCCGCCTGAGACTTCCCCGCATTTTACTCAGGAGTCGCGCTCTCGCTTGGGACATCCTTACAATGTATACAGGAATCGCTCTCTCGTCGCTCTGGAGTCGCGCTCTCGCTGGAGACTCGCTTGCAAGTTATTCAAAAATCGCGTTCTTGCGTTGGAGTTCCCCACAATTTACTCAAGCGCCGCGCTCCCGACACTCAGGCGCCCAGAAGTCGCGCTCACGCCTAGGACTCCCCCTCACAGCATACTTAGGAATCGGGATCTCGCTGCCCTTCGTGGCCCCGTTGCAGCCCTTCGTGGCCCCCTCGCTGCACTACGTGTCCAAATGCCATTCATTCTAGGCGGGGGGAAGGGGGGGTACGAGCTCGTCAACGCACCCCCAAGGCCTCCGGAGCGCCCAAACAGCCCCAAGGCAGCCCAACAGGGCCCAGACAGAGGGCCAAGACAGTCGAAGAGAGCGTCATGACGGCCGTGGATAGCCCCACGACGATCCAAGATGTGGCTTCAAGATGGCCCACGAGGCTCCCAAGACAGCCCAAAAGTGCATCCAGAGGATCGCCGAGAGTGCCCTAAGAGGCCAAAATCATCAAATTCCAATTGAGCAACGTGCATCTTCAGCACATTCGCATTTTACGTTGTGACAGAGAAGACGGCGGCCCAAGTGGCCCACAAGATCGTCCCAAGATGTCCCATGATGCCTCCAAGAAGGCCCCAAGACGGCCCAAGACAGCCCAACCCAGGAGGGGCAATCCGAAATGACATGCCGAGTCTTTCCCACTGAGATGGCCCCTCGAGCCCCCCAAGAGGCCCCCGAGGGCCCTCCAAGAGGCCCCTAGAGGCTTCCAAGACGCCCCCAAGAGCCCCCCCGGAGGCCCCCACGAGGCCCCCCAGAGCCTCCCACATGCCACCACCATATTCCAAGAGGCCCCAGAGAGGCATCCCAAGAGACCCTCAGATTCATCCAGGAGTCTCCCGACCCAAGGTAGAACTTCCACGATCGTCTCAACACACTCGCTCCTTGTGGGGGTCGGCGGAATGGCGCACGCCGCTTGAATAAGGCTGTGCGACGCTTGCACGGATGGGGGGCGGTCATTTCCGAAACGGAGCTCTCGCCGAGGGCTTCCTGAAACCATTTCGCGTCCATTGCAACATTGTGTCTCGACCACACGGATGCAGGGTGGCTCCTCTCCGTCAGGGAGGAGCTGCCTTTGGGCCCCTCCTTGCACTGAATGACCTCCCTTGTCACAGTCCTTAGAACTCCAATGATGGAGAGCGGCTTCCATCAAAGGAACGCTCCCGCCTGCACTACCGACCCATGGGGCGGCCATGTTTGAAGGGGCCCTGGGACACACAGATAAATAGACACAAATAACAAGATCCCCCAGATTTCCAATGTTTTTGAGGTTTTCGTCTTCCCCCCCACTTCCCATATTTCCCATATATTTTTGTAGAAGTCGACGATTAATTGTGTCTGTGTGTTCTCTTCCCTCCTGAATCTACCAAGGGGGAGGCGGGCGCCTCGCGCAGTGAGCAAACCTGCCTGTGGGACACGATGACGATAGAGGCCTCCCAGATGGGATCCGAGCACACGGGGTCGATGGATCGCGCCGCATCGCCGAGGCATGAGCGATGCATCGGCGACGTCGGCGACGGATCGGCGACGTTGCATCGTGGAGAAAATCGGGCTCCGCCTCGAGCCGCATCGTCGATGCATCGGCGATGCGGCGCGATCCTCCGACCCCATCTGGGAGGCCTAGATGGATGTAATGACGTATTGCGACATCGTTGTCGAATGTTGGCTTTGCTCTGGTCCCCCACCCAGACGTCCCCGATAGCGGCACAGCTTACAATAGGAGCCCGATCGCACGGAAGCTTCCACACGAAACCCAACCCTGGAATCTCATGGCGTCCCTTGATTGCTGGTGTGGGAGCAACACGCTTCCCATCGCAAAACCACCGAAATATCCAAGAAACCCAGGGCACCCTGGAGGCAAGCAGGGTGTTTCTTGGCATGGGTTTCCGCGGTGTGCTACACAACTAGGCTGAACCTAAACGGTGTTTCTCGTTTTCGTTTTGTTTTCCCTCGTTTTGTCTTCAATCGGCCTTTAACGCAAAACGACATCGAAACGAAAACGGCCCACGAAATCGCCAAAACACCGCCTGGGCCCACCCCTGCTGCACAATTCTTCCTCCGCCGAGCGCCAGGCGCGCCTGGTCCGCGTCGCCCTTGGCCACGGGGCCCGTTTGCCTCAACGGCACGACGACCCAGGCGCCTGCGGCCGCGGCCGCGGCGGGCCCCCCCGCGGCGCTCGGCCCGCTGCCCGCTGCTCGCCTCCGCCGCCGCCGCAAGCGGCTCTCGGCGGTCCCCTCCCTGGGCAAGAGCGGCGCGGAGGTCGGCGGCGGCTGCGGCTGCGGCGTCGTCGTGGCCGTCGAGGTCCGGGTCGTGGACGCGGACCTGGGTGCAGTCGTCGCCTGCGCCACCGTCGCGGGCGTCGTGGTCGTCTCGGACGTGGTGGTCGTCGGCGCCGTGGTCGTCATGTCGTCGATGAGGGAGGAGGAGGAGGAGGAGGAGGAGGAGGAGGAGGAGGAGGAGAGGAGATGAGGAGGAGGAGGAGGAGGACGGACGACACGACGAAACGACGACGACGACGACGGCCACGACGGCCACGACGACGACGACGGCGACGACGGCCACGACGACGACGACGACGACGACGACGACGACAGCCACCACTACGACGACGAGTGGCGGACTGCGGGGAGCAGCCCCGCGCCGGGCGCAGGGGCGCATGGCGCGCCCGCGGGCGCTCGCGGGCGGCGTGGCGCCGTGTCCTTGCCCTGTGGATGTCGTCGTCCTGGCCGTCGTCGTCGTCGTGGACGCGGCGGCGATGGCCCCCGTCGCTGCCCGGGGGCGCGCGCGCGCGCGCGCGGAGCGCGCGCCTGCGGGCGGCTCCCCGTGGAGGCCCTCCGCGGGCCAGAGCTCCAGCTGGCTCAGCCGGCGGTCCATGCGCAGCAGCGAGCGCCTACTGAGCGGCACCCCGCGCGCGGTGCGTGCGCGCGCCTGCGCCGCTGAGCGCCGCGGCCACGCCGACTGACGCAGGACTCGCTTCTGTAGTGCTCAGTTCTAGAGTGAGTGCCCACCTTCGCTCTGAGGTTAGGAAGAAGGGGCCGCACATGCACGCGCATGCCGCACAGTCGCGTGCACATGCCCCTGCAACCCTGCAGCAGTCTCAAAAACATGGCCGCACATGCGGGCACATGCCATACAGTCCGATGCGCACTTGGATGCACAGTCTGGACAAACTCCGAAAGCATAAACGCACATGCCCGCACATGCCGCAGAGTCGAATATTCGGTGGGGGACAGAGAAACACATGGGGGGGAAAAGGACAGATGAGAGAGGAAGGAGGAGCAAGGAAAACGAGGGAAGCAGATGTGGCTGGCGTTCGAGCGGCAACACCGTACCCAAATAAGAGACGTGGCAGGCGACAGCACAAATCGAACAACAAAGGGATGTGGCCAGCGCTCGAATGATGTATCACGCGAAGATCTCTCAGGCGAAAGTGGCCTGACCACCTGAGCTCAAGGCATCTCGGAATCCGCGTGGATATCTCAGCCGAAAGATGCCGAACATCATGGGGCAAGGCGTCTCCGAGGTCTGAGTTGCGAGCATCCCTCGGGCCAAGATGGCCTGACCACCTGAGTTCAGGGCACCTCGGAACCCAGAGTTGCAAGGATGTCTCAAGCGAAAGTGGCTGGACCACCATGGGGCAAGGCATCTCCGAGGTCAGAGTTGCGAGGATGTCTCAACGGACAGTGACCTGACAACCTGAGCTCAGGGCATTTCCGAGGTCAGAGTTGCGCAACTGTCTCATGCTAAAGTGGCCTGACTTCCTCAACTCAGAGAAGCTCAGAACCCAGAGCTGCGAAGATCTCGCGTGAAGATGTCCCGACCACCTGAACTCAGGGCAACCTGGAACCCAAAGGTGCGAGGATGTCTTAAAGGTAAGTGGCCAGACCACTATGGGGCAGGCATCTCCGACTCACAGTTGCGAGGATGTCTCAGGCGAAGAAGGCCTGACCACCTGAGATCATGGCATCTCGGAATCCGTTGCCAGGGTGCCTCAGGCAAATGTGGCCGGACCACCGTCGGGCCGAGCATCTACGAGGTCAGAGTTGCAGGGATGTCTCAGGCCAAGGTAGCCGAACCACCTGAGCTCAGAGCATCTTCGAGGTCACAGTTATGAGGATCTCCCAAGCGATGGTGACTGGATCACCATCATGGCGCAGGGCATCTCCTGGGTCAGAATTGGGAGGAGATCTCCGGCGAAACTGGTCGAACCACCTCAGTTCAGGGCATTTCCGAAGTCAGCTGCCAGGATCTCGACGGCGACGATAGGGGCGAATCGCCCAGGGGCGCGCATTACACGCATTCGCCCGGGAGCTTTCTCGAAGACATAGATCATCGGCGCACCTGAACACATGCAGTGCTCTCCCTTGAGCTATTCGCCCCTATCGTCGCCTCTGAGGCTCTGTCAAGCGACAAAGAGGCTGGACCGCCCACCTGGCGCCCCGCTCCTGGCGGCGAGCGCGGGCAGCGCAAGCGCTGCGCGCGCCTGCGCAAGGCGTGAGCGGGGGCGCCGGGCGGAGCGGGGCCGTTCCTGGCCTGGCCGGCCCCGGCATCCTCTCGCGCCCCGCGCAGAGCCCCGCAAAGCCCCGCGCAGCGTCTGCACAGGCCGAACTCGCCCGGTGGCCGACCCACGCAGGCGGTCATGCTGCAAAGATGGCGGGCGGCCCTGTGCGTCCCCAGGAGGTCCACGCGGGACTTCTCGAATCCCGTCGTCTCGGAGCCCCGGGCCCCGAGGGTGCCTCACGCGAGCCGGGCCCAAACACTTAATAACCGCAGTTTGGATTCCAGAATGTTGACGATGTCCCGAACAAATCGGGGCAGATCACCTCCGGTCAATTTCGCGCGAAGCGGGCCGCACCACTGCATCTTGGAACCCCAAGCGTTGGGGAGATGATCTAAGCGGCACGGGCCAAATCACCTCAACTCAAGGAATCTCGGAACCCAAGATTGTCAGGATGCCACACGCAAAATGGGCTGGAACCCCGAAGTATAGGAAGATCCCAAACGAATCGGGGCACGTCGATTCAACCCCAACTCAAAACATAATGGAACCTGGGTGTTGGTGATGTCCCACGCGAATCGGGCCTCCTCATCCTCGACCTCGTTCCCCCCTCCTGTTCCTGCGGCCGAGCCGAATAGGCGCGCCGTCAAGACATTTTAACAGGGAGCGCCACAAGCTCTGCGCGGCCACTGGACGACGACGCAAGGTCAATCACATCGGCGTGGCCCACGGGCGACAAACCGCTCCCATCAGCAGTGGGCGAATCAAGCGCGCAAGCCCCCCCAGCATACATGGCAACGGATCCCTTGCGGACGCAAAAAGCAAACCCCACGAAAGACTGCGAAGACCACGAAGCAATGGAGGCTCTTCTAAGGACCCCAAACAACTCCGAAGGCATGTGCGGGCCTGTGCGTCGGCATGTGCAAGCATGTGCGGACGCGCCTTGTAACGCATGGGAATGCATGTGGAGGCCTGCGGGGTCATCCGCAAGAGGATTGCACAAGCATGTGCGCGCACGTGTTGCTGGCACATCTGCAGTAATCATACACGTTCCGCGTGTGCAAGCATGTGCGCTGGCACGCACATGCTACTGCACAAACGGCCGCACATACACACCAAAGGGTATGGAATGTGCGGTGTACACGACGACTGCGGCGACTGATGACGACGACGAGGATGACGACGATGACGACGACGACGGCGAATGACCTTCGACAACCGACGACCGCCGGCGGAGCGGGACGGGATTACCCCTCACGCCCCCCGTCGGGTATTCGCGGGGACGCGGGAAATATTATAACGTCCGAGATGGCCCACGACGGCTTGAAGATAACCCCAAATACCACAATGTGGCCTCCAGCATGACTCGATATGACGCCAGGTGGACCAGCGCAGCGTCCAACATAATTACCCCGAGGAGGCAATCGTAATCATATGCCTCAGAGTGGCTCCTGGGGGTACGAAGCCTCCAAGGAATGCCCCCCGAAAGGCTACGCTCCAGCGGTGGCGTGCTGTGTGTGTGTATGTGTGTGTGTGTGTGTGTTCAATATTGTTGGGCGTCTCGCCCTTTAGCTTCCGAAGCCCCAGTATGTCCCCAGAATACCCCCAGAAAGCCCCAGAATATGCCCAGGAAAGGATCCCGGGCGCAATCCCAAGGCTTGTTTAGACACATTCCCTTGGTCCTGATGCAGACGGGAACGAAGGAAATCGACGCCCCGTGCTTACAGCGCGAACAGGAGTACTCGGCAGACCTATGGACGCGCACTCACCTTCAACCTCGGCAACACGCACGAGAACGCCAACGGAAACACCACCAAGAGGCCCCCAGGTGGACATCCCTGTGGTAACCCGAACGACACAGGGGACATAGTGATATCAATAGAAGCTTGCCCCGCAGCGAAAGAGGCTGCGTTCAATCCTCTCTCGCGCGCGCGCGGGGCGGCGCTCCCAGCGCGCCACGTTGAACAACGGCACTGCGAACCGAGAGGCGGCGGCAGGGAAACAGCGGAGAGAACGGCGAGGGAGGAGAGGAACAACCCAGCCTCAAGAGCACCCAGGAACGTTTTTTCTGGTTCCGACGGGGGGGGCGTACTTTCGACCCCTGCCCTTTTGATCGATGGTCGCCTGGATCGGACCCAGGTAGGTGGGGCCGTCCTGCGTGAGGCATCCTCCCCCCTTCCCGCGAAACCAGTTCCTCCTGCTCCCCCTCCACCACCACCGCCTTCATCGTCCTCGTGTTCCTCCTGCTTCCCCTGCTCCCACGCTCGACAATTGTGCAGGGGTCCATGCTCTCTCTCCCCCTCCTCCCCCTTTCCAACTCTCCTCCTCCTCCTCCGGTGACCTGGACGTCGTCGTCGTCGTCGCCGTCGCCGTCGCCGTCGCCATCACGCCGCCGCCGCCGCCGCCGCCGTCGTCGTCGTCGTAAGCGTCGTCGTAATCGTCGTCGTCGTCGTCATAGCGGCGGCGGCGGCGGTGGACGACGGGCGGGGAGCAAGGGCGGCCTCGGAGCCTGCCCGTCGAAGCAGGCCTCGACGGGGATGCCCTCGTCGAGTGCCTGGCGGGGCGAGGGGCGGGGGGGGGGGGCGAGGGGAGGTGGGTGGGTGGGGGGCGTGTGGGGCGGGGGGAAGGAGGAGAGGGGGGGCGAGGGCGGCGTGGGAGGGAGTCGGGGGGGGGGGTAGGAGGAAAAAGGCGGGGGGGCGGCGTGGGAACGGAGGGAGGAGGGGCGCGGGCGGCGCGGGAGGGGTGGGTGGGCGAGGGCAGGGGAGGGGCGGAAAGGAGAGGGGAGGAGCGGCGCGAGCAGGGAGGGGCGGCGGGGGGGAAGGGAGGAGGGGCGCGGGCGGCGCTGGAGGGCAGGGCGGAGGAGATCTAGCGGGGTCCGGCGGGCCAACCTCCAGGACATCGAAGAACGATTGACGGCGGCGATGAGAACGCACTACCTACCACCAGCTTGTCCCTGGGCGCTCAGGCGACGCGATGAACACAAACTGAAGAGCCGAAGCTGGCGGTGTCGCTCCAACTCCAGTGCGACCCTGCCGTGCACGCTCGTCGTATCGCGATCAGGCTGCCGGCTGCCGCCACGGAAGGCGGAAGGGGGGGGCCAGCGGGGGAGGGGAGGACAAGTAAGCGAGGGGAGGGAGGGGTGGAGAGACAAGGGGCGGAGGAGAAGGGAGAGGGGGAGAAGGCCAGCCAAGCGCTCCGGCGCCACATCTGACGTCCTAACCCTCCCTCCCAATCCATTTCGCTTGCGTGAAATCTTGTTGTGTTCGCCGAGTCGAATGCCAAATCAGATCAAATCACATACTTGCACGTCCAGCGCGCACTGCGGGACGGGGCGCGATGGGGCCACATGGCGAACAGAGAGGTTGGGCGACGTCCAGGGCGGAGAAAAGAGAAACACGCCAGAACAACGGCCTGTGGGAAGCAGGCATGGGAGAGGAGGAGCAGGGGAAGCAGGAGAAGGACTGGGAGGGGCAGGAACCAGGACAGATCAGGACCAAGAGGGCCTGGAGAAGAACGGCGAGGACGAGGCGGCCCCGTGCTCCCAGAAACGCGAGAAAATAGTGAGGTGGAGGATGATGGGGAGAAAACGGAGGCAACAGACGACGATGATACTGATGATACTGATGATGATGATGATGATGATGAAGATGATGATGATGATGATGATGATGACGATGATGATGATGATGATGATGATAATGGTATTGATAATGATGATGATGATGATGATGATGATGATGATGAGGATGATGGTGATGATGATCCCCCCTCAGCGGGCACCGTGCGCTGCACAGGAGCCGCCCCGCGGCCGCGGCCGCCGCGCCGAAGCCTCAGCCCCGGCCCGCCGCGCCCCCGCCCCGCCCCTCGCGGGAGCGGCTCCGCGCCCGTCCACAGGCTTGCAGCCGCACCGGGGAACCGAGCCTGCCACTCTTGCTCGGGTGCAGGCCTCGGCGGAGGCGCCTCAGCACCTCGGCCTGCCGGCCCTCCACGCGCCAGCCCGGGACACGGCGGGCGGGGCACTCCTGCGCGAGGCCCATGATGCGGGCCGAGCCCGCGCTGGCGCCGCACACGTTGCAGAAGACGTGGCCGCCGCACCTCATCAGGACGTGCGAGTCCTGCAGCTCGGCGTTCCACCACGCTGGCGGCGCCTCGCTGCCCCCCACGGCTGGCGCGAGCGCGGAAGGGGCTGAGGCAGGCTGCCCGCGACCGCCACCTCGGCCCCTGCCGTGTCCGCGGCCACGGCCTCGCCGCGCTGGCCCAGGCGAGGCGGGGGCAGGCGGCGGCTCCTCGGCAGCAGGGCCCTCCGGCGAGGCGGCCCCGCCAGCCGGCTCTCCGCCCGACGGCGCGGCGTTCACCTGCTGCCTCAGCGGCGCCTCGCCGCTGGCGGGCTCGCCGTCGCCGCCCCCCCCTTCAGCGGCGCCGTGCGGGCGGGCCGCCATCGCCGCGGCCACCGCCGGAGGCGCCTCGGCGGCGGCGGCGGGCTCCTCCGCCGCGGCGGGCTCGTCAGCGGGGGCACCACCTGGGCCAGCCCGCCCTGGCGGTCCCCCCTCGCGGGCGGGCTCGCCTGCCGTCGCCCCCGGCTGCCCCGCGCGGCCGGGCCGCCGCCGCAGCGGCCGCCAAGGCGAGGGCGACAGCCCCGGCCGCGCCCGCACCGTCGCCCGAGCCCCCGCTCTGGGCGGCTGCTCGGCCCCCTTGCACGGGAGTGCCCATGGCGGCGCAGACCCAGCAGCTCCAGCAGACCGACTCGCCCAGCAGCAGCGCCGTGCCATGGCGGTCGCAAGCGCGGAAGGCGCAGTTGGGCCCGCCGACCCCGCAGGCTGCCATTGGGCGCTGTCGGCAACCCGCCCAAGCGCACCTGATCGCCTCAAGGCCAGGCGCCTCGAAGCCGTCGGCCGCCCGCAGCGGCGAGTCGCCCTCCTGCATGGCCTCCCCCAGCCAGTCGGAAACACATGTGGCGAGGCTCTCTGCGAGGTCCACCATGTCGAGCCGCTCCTGCGGGACGCCGTGGAGAGCGGCTCCCTCATTGGCTCGGCTGTCCGCCCTGGCGTTGCCCGCGCGCTGCCTGTCCGTGATGAGGCCGTCGCGGACGTGCTGTTCCGTCGCGTGCGCCTTCACCTTGCAGACCTGCACCATGGTGACCCCGTAGTCCTCGACGAGCTGCCAGAATTGCACCCACAGCTCGCGGTAGGGCCGACCCCACTCCAGACACCAGCGCTTGCCGAAGGCCCAGCCGTCGTGCACCATCGCCGAGTCGGTGTAGAGGATGAGCGGCCCGATGCCGCCTCGCAGGGCCTCCAGTGCCGCCTGCAGCTCCCCGGCCTCGCTGTCCTGGGGAAGCGGCCAGGCCACGTTGCCCCACGCCGAGCTGCGCTCCGAATCGTCAGCCCCCCACGTCGTGACCGCCGCCCAGCCCGCGCGCGCCAGCACCTTGTCCCTGGAGCGGAAGGCGGAGCTGTCGAGGAAGACCTCACGCTCGAAGACGGACCCTGGGTGGGTGCCCGAGCGTCTCACGAGCGTGCGAGCGAAAGGCAGCGGCGCCTCTGCTCGCGGGTCTGGCACCAGCCCGCGTGACCAGATGTGGTGTTCCTGGCCTGTGTCGGGCTCCGCCCTCTCCGCCTCTTGCAGCAGCGCGAATCTGGACCCGTCCGCCCGCTGCTGCCTCCGAGGCTCGTCGAGTGCTGGGCAACGCCAGGCCAGGTGCCGGACCGTGCCCGCCTCGTCGCAACCCCACGGGCAGCGGGCCGAGGAGGCGAGCGGAGGGGTGGCGGTTGGAGGCATCGTCGGGTAGACACTCATGCCGTCCAGCTCTGGGCGCTGAATGGGTGTGGGGCTGGGTGGGGAGCGCGCGTTGGAAAAACCGTTCGGCCGCGCTGGACGTGATCCAGTGTGGGGGGCCTCGTGGGCCGTATAAAGGTTGCACAGGACCTAGGACACTTGTACATCTAGAGAAAATATACCCCACGAAGCAAAAGTCGACGACTTTCCTTACGTCTTTGACAATTTTTTGCCTTCTCGCCATTTCGGCTTTCCGACACTCCGAGACGGACCAAGAGGTTCTCAAGATCGCCCCACGACGGCCCTAGAAGCCTCCATGACGGCCCAAGAGGCCCCCAAGACGGCCCCAAGACGGCCGAAGAGGGCCCCAAGAAGGTCCAAGAGGCGCCCCAGACGGCCCAAACGAGCCCTAATACGCTCCCAAGAGAGGCCCAAGAGGGCGTCCACGAACCGAATACTCGACCTTTCATCCCCGAGAGGGCCCCAAGAGGCCCCAAGAAGATCTCCAGAGGCCCCAAGAGGCCCCCAAGGGGCCCCCAAGAGGCCCCAAGGAGACCCCCAAGAAACCAAACATATTGTTTCCAAGAGGCCACGAGGAGACCCCCAAAAGGCCCCCAAAGGCCCCAAGGAGACCCCCAAGAGGCCCCAAGGAGGCCCCCACGAGGCCCCAAGAAGACCCCAGCAGAGCCACCCGCGCTAGTAATAGGGGGGCAGGCGGCAGAGGTCGAAGCCCTCTCAAAATGCGGCCGCTCCCGCCCGGCGGGTTGGGCCGTGCGGACCTCTCTGACGGAGTGTCTGGCACAATCTTCGGCCCCCTTCGCCAGAGCCCGGTCAAAAACCTCCCTGAAGTCCCTCCGAGGGGGCCCGACTCTGCCGCCGGACCGCCCCTCCCCCTGGGACCCTTCAAGGTCCAGAACAGCCCGGGGACGACCCAAGAGCGCCCCAAGCCGGTCCAAGAGAGTCCCAAGACGGTCCAAGAGAGCCTCCAGACGGCTCCAGATCGCGCCAAGACGCCCAAGATTGCCTCCGAACGGCCCCAAACGCCTCCAGGACGGCCCAAGAGGCCTCCAAGAGCAGCCCCAAGAGAGCCCCGAGAGACAACAATCATTGATTGTTCGATGGTTTTGGAAGGATTTTCGCGTTCTCGCCATTTCGGCTTAACCGACGCTCCAAGACGGCCCAAGAGGCCCCCGAGATCGCCCCAGGACGGACCAATAAGCTCCCGAGAAGGCTCCAAGACAACCCAAGAGGGCTCCAAGACGGCCAAAGAGGCCCCCGGGACGACCCAAGAGGGGCCCCAGGACGGCCCCAAGAGGGCGCCCAGAAGGGGAACCCGAATGAACATTTCGAGCTTTCGGTCCCAAGAGGCCCCATATGAGGCTCTAAGAGGCCCTCGGGAGGCCCCCAAGAGCCCCAAGAAAGCTCCAAGAGGCCCCAAGAGGGCCCCAAGAGGCTCCCAAGAAGCAGCCAGGAGGCCCCCAAGAGGCCCGTAAACTCTCCCGCCGAAGCCCCCGAGAGCCCTCTCGAGCGACCCCAAGAAACGCCCATGGGGACTCCGACCCAAAACCCAAGCACGGTGGCGGGATGGGTCGACGGCCATTTGATAGCTGGCATACTTTTTTGGTCGGCGGCTCCGAGGCAACGGACAGGGAGCGGAAGCGGCGTCCGGGTCACGGTACGGGGCTAATTCGCAAAGAATGCGTGGTGTGCACATGCACTGAGCAAAATGCTCCGCATTAAGGCGAACGCACCTAGGCGACAGCCAGATAGCTGGCATAC